TCAATACAGGCCCTAACCCCAACCCGTCCTCAATACAGGCCCCTAACCCCAACCCGTCCTCAATACAGGCCCTAACCCCAACCCGTCCTCAATACGAATTACAAACTAATTAGTGTGTAATGTGGGATGGTTGGCCTTACTCAGTGTGTTGATGACCAATTTAATGTTGATCAATAACCCTTCTGTTTTTTTTTCGTTTTTTTTAATCCTCCTGAAAAGTCAAATCAATAATCCTTTTACCCACTTCTATTTTTTTATTTATAATCATCTAATCATTGTTAATATGACGTAATTAAACATATTTATTTTTATTGAAATAGTCTGTCACAGCCTCCCCCCCCCGTTTCCGGGTCCTCTCCTCCCTGTTCGGCCACTGTTTACTGGGCAGTTCTGTATATGGCTGTGTATATGTACACATGCATACTAATATATGCATAAATGAATACATATATGGATAAAATCATGCATGTAGACATACATACATACATAAATAAATATAGACATACATCACTATATGGATATAATCATGCATGTAGACGTACATACATAGATACATAGATACATAGATACACGAGTACGTGCATATAATCATGCATGTAGACATGCATACATACATACATACATAAATACCTGCATATAATGCGTGTAGTAGACATACATACGTACATAGATACAGAAATACATGCATATAGTCATGCATGTAGACATACATACATACATAGATACATAGGTGCTGGTAGGAGAGGAGGATACAGGTGTGGCGTGTCCATTTTTGGACGAGTTCTCCTGCTGCTGTTTGTTTTGTCGTTTTCCTAATTTGGAAAGGGTTCTGATTCTTCTGAAACTTTTCATTTGCCATATTTGTTGGTATGTCTGAGATACCAACATTGCTAATTTGTTTTCCTAATTTGGTATGGGATGGGTCTGATGGAGGGATGAAGGTGATTGCAGAATATCAATACAGAATTCAGGGGTAAAAAAAGGGGGGAAAAAAGGGGGGGAAAAAAGGAGGAAAAAAAGGGGGAAAAAAAGGGAAAAAAAAACATGAACACCAATACCGTATGTAGTCAGTATTTTCTATTACATGCATGTGCACGATTCAAAGAAAAAGGAGATCGTACTACCTCTCTTAACCTTTTTTTTTTTTCCCCCCTCCCTTGATATGACCTTTGTTTTGTTCTTGTGTGTATGGTTCCTGATTGGCATGAAGATGATGGCTGCAGCTATGGCAGAGACAGGGCAAATCAAGCTAGGAGGGAAGTACCCGACCTACACAGAGGCGGCACGTGCAAGGGCGAAGAAGACGACTCTCAAACAGGCAAGGTATGTCATTCTCATCTCTCTACCTGGTACAGACATGTATAAATGCATCTTGTATGTACATATGTCTACATGCATGATCGTATGTATGTATGTATGTATGTATGTATGTATGTATGTATGTATGCAGATGTCTTTATGTCTGTATGTCTGTCGTATGTCTACATGCATGATTGTATGTGTGTATGCATGTATGTATGTATGTATGCATGGATGATTGTATGTACGTATATATGTATGTGCGTATGTCTACATGCATGACTGGTTGTATGTATATATGTATGTGTGTATGTCTACATGCATGATTTTCTGTCTGTCTGTAGTCTGTCTGTCTGTCTGTCTGTCTGTATGTCTGTATGTTGGTAACTCTTTCACTTGCATCCATTAAAGTGTATTTGAATTGTCTACATGCATGATTGGTTGTATGTATATATGTATGTGCGTATGTCTACATGCAT